TGACTTATTCCTTCATGAGCTTTCAGTCAGAAGCTGCAGGCAAAATTATTAATATCAAACCACGTATGTTACTTCCCTCTTGCCCCAGACTCCAGGCCTGCTCAACCTGTGATTGAGGAATTCCCACAGATCTGCAGATGTTGCCAGGAAAAACCTTGTAATTCATTAGGTGGTGCTGCAAGACTGCTGGAAGTGCCGTCACGGACTGTGTCAGCATTTTCTAGAGTGGGTCCACCTGAGGCCTTACCAGGGCAGATGCTTTTAAAAAAGCTGTTTGGAGATAGTTTGGCACCAACTCTGGCACCCTAGCCAGACTGAAGACCTTCTGGTATTCACTGAATACACCATATATATGGATCAGTGTATGTAACCCCTTTTTTGCACTCTAACATATTCATAGATCCATTTCATTTTTGACACTTTATTTAGTATTGGATACATTCAAGGAACATAACAAATGGAAATTTAGGGTTTAGCCAGATTGTATCAACTGTTGGTATTGGACTATCAGTGAAGCTCAAACAAGTTTCTCTTGGCAGGACAATTGCACAAAAGCATTTGATGTTGAATCACAAGCTGTTTTCAAGATTCATACACACGAAAGAGTTCAAATATAAGCAAATTAAAGCCTCAGTATTAATAAAATATGTTCTCCTTTCCTTTCCACTTGCCAACTATTTAACCTGGTCAGGAGACAAATTCACATGGGATTAATTCTATGGAGCCAACCTCAGATTCCTCCTGGCTTTCCTTGAAATGAGGTATCCTTTGCTTCCTACCCTGCGCGGTTTGGTAATGCAGCTGCACATTGTTGAAAAATTGCCACAATTCATGGCAGGATGGCTGCGCTTCAGCAATGAGAGAAGTTATTTGGAATACATATGTCTATGTTTGCATGCTTGTGAAGCTTACATGTCTGGCTTGTTAAGCTCTGGGATGCTCCTTGATGGACAATGCCATGGTATACAATGGATGGCAATTAAGCCATGATCTCAGCACTGTGAGCTCCAAAGGAACTTTAGAATACTTTTGTAATTCAAAAGGCTAACCTCTCCTGTAGAGTGGAAAAACATGTAGAAGATGAGGAAGGGGGAAAAAAATGTCTCCATAACCAGTGACATCTGTGGGTACCGTGTGGCGTGAGGATCATGCCTTAGAGCCAGGTAGCCTCAGGGTTCTCCTATCTTTCCACAGTGCACCAGCAAGAGGTGTGACCACGAGGAGCCAGCTGGAGGCAGCTCCTGCCACCGCTCTTACTCCATGCCCTTAGCTTGCCCAGGCCAGGCACTGGTGGGCCCAGGGGGCAGCATGCCCAACTGGCGTTACAGGCATTCTTCCAAGATTTCAGGCTTGCTTGCCTCCTTCTTTATTCTCTCATGTGGTAGAGGGGGAGCGTTTGGCCTGGCAGTATAAACACCTTCTGTTTTGGAATAGGATGAAAAAAAGGAAGAAAAAGCAGAGCTTTTGACTGTAATCTCAGTGGTTCAGTCTTTCTTGGGAATGAAGGCATACCCCTGCACAGGTACAACAAGGGAAAGCAAAAGGCTCAACAGGGCTTGAGTGGCATTTAGTGCTGTACATAAAGGTGTGATGACTGGGACAGGGAAGAGCTGAGGCTCATTCAGATCCAAAGTGGATTAGCTAAACCTCTGCAAACCAAATTCACAACCTATGTAATCTACAACCTAGAAACATGAGCAATAGATTTGCTCAGCAGCCATCTAATTGTCAATTGAAAAAAAAGTCTCTCCTTATGATGTGTAGTGGCTGGCACAAGTAAGTGCTCGTCTGTGCTCATTTGGCCCTTAAAGAAATGTCTCATTTCCTCCCAGGAGTGCCCATTCTGTAAGCACTTTGGTGCCCTTATGCCTACACAGGTCATGAGAAAATCATGCAACAGAAGCTCACTCTTTTTCCATCTTTTTATTTAAACACAAATGGTGCGTCCAGCAACATTTTTCTACTGACCTGATGAAGGCCTGCTCCAAAAGGTCAGGCAGGAGTGAGCACAAAAGGTCTGACAACACTCCTGACCGTACACCCTCTCCATGATGCTGGGTTTGTCCCCAGTGCAGTGGAGGGGCTGCATAGCCCAGCTAGACATTGGCATGGAAGCTGGGAATGGAAAACAATTTTGACATTGGCAGCCTGGAGACCTGCCCTTCTCAAACACATTTGATGTTCATACATGGACTCTTGGCTGCTGCTGCTGGGGACCATCTGTTGGGATGGCTTCGTGCCTGATCAAATGGTGGTATGCCAGTTTCACTGGGACATGAAATAGATGCCAAACAAAACGCGTCTGGTTTTACTTCCATTACTCTGAATTCAAAGGACATGCTAATACTAATCCCCTTTTTAACACTGTTGTGGTGCCAGTTAAACCTTCATTTCTTCCCACTAGTTGCCAGCTTTCTACCACGTACTTAGGCTCTTAACGAAATCCAGAAGAAATCGTTACTGCTGATTTTGCAAAAACAGGGGCACTGTTTGCAGGAGTTTGGTGAGATGTGATAGCGCTAACAACAGAGGTGAATGCACAAGAGCTTCCTACATGTGTAAGATGGAATCCTTTCAGGAGTTGGACTAGGACATTTCTTTGAAAATTGCATCTGAAACCCCATCCCACTATCGTAAAATTTTCTGCCTGGTGGAAATATGACTTATCAATTTAAAAGTGTTGTTGTAAACTAGGCATAGTTTTTTTAGAAAAGCCTCTACCAAATGTGTGAAGGTTTTGAGCATTATGTGAGTACTAATCTGAGATGCTCTGAACACATTTTCTTTTCATTGTAGCTCCAACCCTGGTACATAGTAAAATCTTCCATGCTGAGGCTGGCTTTGCTGTCTGGGTTTATATGACTAACTCCCTGTGAATGTTCCACATTCAGAGAACTGTGATCCTGATCTCAGCCAAGATGAATATTATTGTCAAAACTGCCATCATTACAGCTACTGCAGGTTTTAAGATTCCTCTGGTGTTTGTGGGGAAAACCCATCTGCTACAGATGTTCCCTTGGGTGATGAGTTTTCTCCTCTAGTCCCATAGTTGATCAGGAAAACCTAAGGGAGCACCCCATGATGGAATTCCCTTTGCTCTTCATCCTCTGTCTGCTGTGCAATCCTAAGAGGCTGGAGATCTTGGACACATTCTTCACCATCCTCCTCCTCCCTCTGTCCCTATGGGAGGAGATGGCAAAGCCTCGGTGCTGGCCTCCCCTGGCCAGATCCCTGCTGTGTGCAGGATTCAGATATGCCAGTTGAGGTTCCCAGTTTTAGGAAGTGCTGAGGCTTAGTCAAGGGTTTATTTCCTCAATTCCTGGACTCATAATGATTTTAAGCACTTCATTTTGTTAATGAAGCAAAAAATGCTGTGTTACTGTAATTTAATAACCTTAATTAACTTAACCACCTTGCTTAAATTGCCTTCTTGTATATTCCTGAAGTAAAAGTTGCTATGGAAATGTGAAAAAAAATACCATACACAGTTAAAGAAAGTTGGGGAATGTGTAAGTTTGTGAATGTGGTTCAGCATTGTACTACCAGAAAGAAAAAAAATGTATTCTTTGAAACTTCCAAGTAATATGGCAGGGTCAGGAGCATAGGCCAATGAGTAGCATGTGGACTGGCCATAAAATTAAAAATAAACTTAAGAGTAAATGTGCAGCTAAATGCAGACCATGGGGATAGGATGTGAACTTCAACTATTTCCTGGAGCTAATGTGGTTCCAAAGTTTAACAGCTTTAGCCTTTGGAGACCTGGAGGCGTGCATACTTGTGTTCAGTTTCTCCTCCTTTCATCTCCCCCCACTCGGAGCCCTACCACCTCCCAGCTGCCCTGCTCGCTCCATCTCTCCCTGCAGAAGGACACTCCTCTTGCCCTCTGACAAACATCCCGCATGGCTCTTGGTGCAGAGCATCACTGCGCAGCAGCAGGGCCTCCCTTTCTGTCCTTCTCTCCTCTGGCCTACCCCAGTAGGATGGCAGCCCAGATTCCCATTTTGCCCTCAAGGCCTGCTGGAGTGCAGAGGATTGACTGCTACCTGTGACTACCATCCAGGGATGGTAGCAGGTAGCTGGCCCAGCAGAGCCAGCTGCTCTCTAGACATGCTGGCTCATACCTGATAATTAAGCTTTTTATTATGAGAGAGTATACATATATGTATATGTGTGATATTTGTGCTTTCTTCTTTCACACAGAGATTGTTAACAAAGTTCTATTTTACCTAAAAAAAATGTTTCTCTGTGTCAAAACTTTGGTGCTACATAGTTCTAATTTATTTCAAATATATTGGCAGTTGCAGAAGGTTCAATACTGTGCATCAACAAGCTCCAGAGCTGAAACCTCAGAGGACATATTTCTTATTTTTTCCATTTAAAAAAGAGGCAGAAGAAATATTAATATGCTCTTAGGGCACTATTTTTCTTGACTATGGAGCCTTAAGGTCTTGTCAAGAATTGGGATGATATATGAAAAAAATTGTGTCTGCTTTATGTGCCATGCAGTCCACCTTTATACTAATTTTCTATACACACTTTCTTCCAGTATTATTTTATTACAAATATGGTGTATAACATAGTGTTTCAGGAGATACCAAAAAATCACCAAGATGAATAAGCATATATGGTATTTTTAAATGTTTCTAAGAAATTTACTTAAATTAAGGATTTTTATGTTTCCCCAAAATAATTTCATGCTGTAAGTAGGAGGAGGCAGAGAAGTCAGAGGCTCACACAAGGAACTTGGGAGAGGGAAACACTGGATTTTAGGTTCTCCTTTCCTTTTTGCCTGGCAAAGAAGACTTAATTACAGACTGTTTTTTCATATAATGCCTTTATGTTTGCATCTCTTTATCATGCAGCTATGTTGTCACTGACCCTTCAGGTTCACCACTGCTTTGAGCTTACAAAACTATCAATCCTGAAAATGATCTACCAAACTAATGCCTGTGAGGGGCAAATCCCACCAGCATGCTCAAGCCTATGTGGTAGTAAGTGAAGCAGTTCTCAGAACAAAGAGGCTGGAAGTAATCCTGTATTTGGACTACTGATTGGAGTTTCATCACAAGAAGTAACTCTTCATCTGTACAATCAATCTTCACAATGTTTCAGCAGCTGGAGTTAATTGTCACTTGCAGAAGAACATTATCACCTGTGAAGGAAATAGGACATTGGGGGACATGCTTCATCAGAATTTAGGGAGAGCTTTCTACCCAAAACTGAACAGTATGAGCAGGGAAACCAGAAAGAGGTTTTTTGAGCTATATATATTATTTAGTGTGTGAAACACAGAAGAAAAAGTATTTTGTAAGTGAATTGTTTGAGGAAGCATTCCTCTGAAGTGACCTTTTCTTTTACAGTGCCTTCATGAAAAGTCAGTGAAAATAGCAGCTTCGCCAAGCATTTTAATAGCACCAGGTTGTACCCTGCAAACTGTTTCACAGGTTACCAGCTAAGATGGAGTTCATTAAAAGATAATTTAAGTTCTTCTACAGTCTGGGTTATACTGGGGGAAATCTAAGGTAAGCAAATGACTTCATGTTATCAATTAAAACATAAAATTACCTGAACAATCTTAACTCTGCTTTATTGTACAAACACATTGTGGCACAGCCTGGAAGTACATCCCCATGTGCCGCTTCACCCCTACCCCAACAGGGCTTTCACCTGATTCTGATGGGATGGTGAAGGGGCATTTAAAATACTCAGTTTTGTACATAGCCTTCAATGCATGGCCTTTTTCATAGTATACTGCAAACTATAGTTCCCATCACAGGATTCATCTCATTAACTTGAAATATCATAAACCCTGATTATTTAGCTTCTGTAGGCATTCTGCACTCCTATCTCCAGAGGGTTGTTCATCTGACCTATTTTAGATAACCACTCAGGATGAAATGTATCTCTTGATTTAGACTGTGTTTCATGTGAAATGATTGAACCCTCAGCGTCAGACCAAATGCTAATGTGGTCTAGAATGACGAAAATTTTTTTTTCAAAATTTTCTAAATTCCTTACCTAAAAACCAAAGTCTCCTGAAAATCATTTGTGAGAGTTTAGGGCTAGCTATAAAGCTACTAGGTTCAGTGAAAAAGGTAAGGGGTTGTAAAGAAGATATCAGTCTTTGACAAGAGAGATGATGAAATGATACAGTGAGTTTTTCTGAACACTAATATTTACTGTCATTTTTCAAACCTGAACCACTTACCATAGCTTGTATCTTCAGTAAAAATGGTGCTCAGTTCTTTCAGCCAACAGACATGTCCCCAAGTGTAAACCCGGCCTGCAACAGACTGACTCTCCCTTGGAGGATGCCCCTCTCTCAAACCATGTATGACTCAGGTTCCCATGAGTCAATATGAGTATGGATCCTCCTCTTTCAGTTAGCCTGCAAGCTTACAGTTGCAAAGACTTTCTTTTACTGTCAGCTTTATTCTTTGCATGTACAACAGGTCTCTGTTCTTCATACATCTGTGTTATAGTACTTGTTGCTTTTGTATTATACAGTTATCAACATTGTCTATTAGCACTTGCATTAAAATATTTGTGCAATGTTTCCCCTTTCCACTCATCTTTTATATCAAGAAGTAAATAACATTGCTTTATTTCACATATTCAACCTTCACCTAATCTCTTTATTGAGCAATATGAACTAGAAAATGTAAAGAAGTACCAGCTGATTTAGCAGTGAAAGTGTATTCTGGTCTATATGTTGGCTGGTGGATCATAAACCCGCTTGCCTCTAGCACATGCCTTCCAGCCTAAGCGGGGCTGTGGGTGCTGGAGCAGTGCAAGCCAACTCCGCCATCAGGCATTACAGGCATTTCTCTCATTGGTGGGAAATATCTGGAAAATCTCTCTGCATTTTTGGCACTGTCAATCTTATGCTTAGCTGTAACTTAGAGATAAGTTATGGTATGTTCAGCTGCCATTATTTTGAATTAGACTAACATCATTTAGATTTTTTTTTTTTGTATAAATATCATTAAAGCTACAGATTCCAAAAGTTAGGACATATATTAATAGAGTGTGCTCACTAATACCAGGAAGATCATGCCTCTTGTTCCATGGGATTTAGGCTTGTATCCGGTTCAAACATACTTGTGGTATGAAATGTTAAACAGTGTTGCTGGTGACTAGTTATTCACAAAGGCCAATGCTGATACCTCATTTTTCTTGCCCTCACACACTCTCAATTGCACTGGAAACTGCTCCTTGAAAACAAAACAAGTGAAAAAAGCCACGGTGTTTTCTTCCATGGTTAGTTGCCAGTAGTTCACAAAATAAAAGCCTGGACTGAGAACTAAAGGCTTTTTCTGTTCTTGTTCCTTGCCGTACCAAAGGGGACCCGTGACCTGCAGCTTGCACGGGTGGATTCAGATGTAATCTGGCTATTTCTGCCCTTCACCCTGAGCTGCTTGCAGCAGCCTGTGAGACAGGGTTAAAGCATAGCCAAGTGACAGGATGCTGACAGTACTTTCTGGTGACCACCATCAAAAAACATTTAATTTATATGCTTTGTCATATGTGTACAGCAAGTTCCCTTGGCCCCTGTCAAGACTCTGGCAGGGAGAGCCAAGTCATGTCCCTTGGCTTGTCTCGTCTCTGGCAGTCATTCAAGCTTTCAGCTTGCCTTGGAGTAGATGACATTCACTTACAGTAATCTTTCATAAATGTTCAGCCTCCAGAAGATAGTGAGTGGTCTCTGCTACTTTATATTAGTCCTGTTTGAAGATTTTGGGTTTGAGGCCTGAGCACTTTCCATCCTTATAGAGATTGTCATGCAATAAATGGGGATGTCTACAGGTTCTGCAGTGCATCAGATTGAATGAAAATCTTTTTCTTATGAAAAGAGCTTTCTAAATTACTTTTTTATTTTCTTAAGAATGAGAGAGACAAACTAATGCCCTACAAAAGAATTAATAATGTTGACTCGGGCTGGATAAAATCCTCCTTCAAGATTTAAACAATCGGATGTTGACAGTCATTCGTCTCAGGTACCAAGCCAGCCAGATACAAGTCAGCAGACATATCCCTGTTAGCGCTTAACTGAGACGGAGGCAACAGATGCTACCTCTCAACAGAGCTTATTAGACCATGCTCAACAGCATGTTGACATAGTTAGAAGGTATCCCAACTTCTTCTGGCCTGCAACTGCTTAGCTCATTGCAAAAGCAAAGGAGCAAGCAACCACACGAGACCTGGCAGACATGCCACACTGGGATTGTGTGTCTTTTGAAAGCATCAGGGTAGCCTGAAAGCTCTGTTGTCCTTTGCACTTTTACAAAGTCTCCCCCTTGACTAGCACACCAATCCCTGTGCTATGGCTCTCAGGCCACTTTCATAGCACACCACCTGTTTGTACTGAAGATGGGTTGTTGTTATTGCACATGAAACCTCTTACATAGAGAGGTAGTCATACCATTCAACTAATAAAAAAGAGCTACTGGAAGTAAACTGAATGAAAACTGCACTTTTATCCACCTTCTCTCTTCCTGCTCCCTCCATCTGTGCCTCAGGCTTGTGTGCTGCTTTATGTTGGTGCTTACACTAATACTGCTTTTCATATGTAGGCAGCATATAGTGCCTTGTGGGTACCTTTATGACTTTCAATGCATAAATGACAAATTATTGTTTCACTTTTTAATCCAAAATTATGTAAAAATTTATTATTGTAGCCAGGTCTCATCTTGCAGCAGTCACTGCCCAAAGAGTTGTCAGGCACCAAACTGTTCAATGATATTATGACTCACATAATCTAAAACTAAAATAAGGATGCTGTGTATGTTTTATCTGATAGTGATTGATAATTTAAATTAATATCTTCAGTATTTTATGGAAGGGCAGATAAAATAATTCAGAATACGGAGAAGATAATTCCAGTGCTTTCGGAGATTTGATCATAATAAACAATTTGTACATTTAAAAAGTCTAAGTTTTATGGTTTTGGAACAAATTTTCTAAGCACATATATGTGTTGCTTTGTTTAAAATTGCAGTCAGCAAGCCAAAATTACATGTTCAAACTGACCAGTCTTATGGAAAGCTAACTCTGAGATCCAAGTGGTAGCAATGAAATGGTGACTGCCATTGCAAATGCCTCAGGTGGCACTGGCCTATAAGCAGGGCTAGACAAGATGAAAACAAAATGTCTTAAAATGATCTATCTTCTTCCAGCCATTTCTGGTCTGTTCTTGACCAGTGACTGGTTGTGTTTGAAATACACCATTTCAAAGTCTGCCTGTGAAGACTATTCCAGAGACTAACAGATGCACTTTTCCGTAAAGTTTATTTTTTCCAGTCTAGTCTTTCCCCCGTATTATTTTTTTCAGTTACTTCAAGGCTCTAGAAAGGTGCCAGAGAAAATAACAGCAGAAGTTCTGCAAGATGGAGAATGGAGAATTAAATAAAAAGACACAGGGGGAGCTACTCCTTGTAGAAGAACTAAGTAAAGGAAAGATTTTTTGGTAAAAGCATCAGCCAAGTATGCCATACTTATCATTCTGTCAACTTTTCTCTGTGAGTCACAAGTTGTTTTCTTTCTAGAGTTTCACTTTTCTTACCACAACAGTGAGAACAAACAGAAGGTCTAGGGTACTTTGACTCATAGCGCAATAAGATATTTTCATACAGGATTTCCCTGTGTCAGTGGGCATCAAGGCAACCAATGCCCAGCTACGGTTAGCTACCAGCTCAAGCTTTTGGACAGAGATTACCACTCTGCTCCACCAGTGGTTGTCTCTACAGGGACAAGTAGCCAAGATTTGGACCACCATTATTGTGACTTGTTTGCTTGAACACAAGTCCCAGAAACCAGCATATTATTATCTCCAACTCATTTCTTCAAAGTTTATACCTTTCCTGGGTGCATGTAATTTCAAAATATTTTATTTATTTTTCAGTCATTGAACTTTTACAAGACACAATATGAGGAAAGGCACAAAAAGTGGTTTCTTTGTATACTACAGTATCACAAACCACCTGAATGAACTTGATGCAGAACAAGATGTTAGATTGGCTGTACTTACTCCTACAGGTCATTTAAAGGCAAATCTTTACAAACCCAGTCTTTGATTTTAGCCCATCCACCAAACCCCATCTATTTGATACCCTTTTATGACAAATAGGATGACTTCCGAAGTGAGAAGTCGGG